TCAAGTTTACGTTCCTTAACATTATTTTAAACGTTTATTGTCTAGGTTCGTATGTCGCGTTGGAAACAAAAATTGTGGAACATAAGGTCTTAGATCCTTTCGTCAAAACGAAGAACGCAGCAGGGTTAAAGCGGAGTGGAGGAAAAACGCTCGTGTGTGTTCGTTGCATATCTTCGAAACATAATTCTCTTTCGTAACACGTTCCGTGTCGGACCGATTTTCGATGACTTCCCGTTCACGCCACGTGGGTCGTATGCGCCCCACGTTGTCGAGACTAACAGTTTTGCTTTTCACCCTGTATGTCTTCTAATATTTATAAGATTGCAAAAATCATTGTTATCAAGAAAGAGGTAACGTTTAAGATGCACTATAGGGCAAAGGAAAAATTTTTGTTTTAACAAATTACCGCCATAGTTGCATACTTTAAGTCAGCGGAAGGAAAAGGCGGAAATATTGAATGGCCTGAACGGAAAATCCAGAGTAGGGCGTATGCGACATATTTGTTCGCATAAATCGATAGCTTTATATCTTGAGAATATGTTCCCAAAGTTTTCGATCGGAATTCGAAAAATTGACAGAGCTATAAATCACTATGAAAATGACTAATTTCTTTATTACATGTAAATGAAACTTTCAATGCAGTGGAAAAGAAAATACGTTAGAGTTTAGAATATCTCTTGTGGAAATAGTAAAATATATTAAAATTTGCGTTCTTTGTTACCAATTTTTTTGTTTTAACAATTTTTTTGAAAATTGTGTACTCTTTAATCTTCTTAAAGGTCTATTTGAAAATTGTGTACTCTTTAATCTTCTTAAAGAAAAAACTGAAAATCTTTAATAAAAGCAGTAACTAAATAAAAAAAACATGTGCATATTACAGACACTCTGGTCAAATAATGATTTTGAAATTCGAGGTCAACGAAGGAGTCGATGATTCGACGATCACTATAGAGTCTACAGACCTATTATACTAAGAGTGAAATTTGGTCACGAGTTGCGCAATTTAAAGTCATGGTTTCACCTGTACAAATCGTGTTGCCGCCAAGGTGTACGTGACATGGTGTTACATTCAGATTATTTTCGATGCGTGAGACGTGCTTTCGTTAACTTCGCTTGTGTTGTTTCTTAAGTAACCTCCTCCATTCGACAACCCCGTTCGATTCGTAGCAACGTCCGTGCAACTTTCCAAAAACGGCGTTCGCTAAACTTTCGATTCTCTAATTAAAGTTTCTATACATCGAAATGATCGTATATGTAATGAAAATAGGTTTTAAAAAATGTGCAAGGGTTGTAATATTTACTGGTAAGGGTTACTGTAATACTAATAAACTCCATAATCTTTAATTTTATTCTTATTTTATTATTTTGCTTCGCTAGCGAAGAATTGAAAATATTAAATTTCATAGGAAAATTTTTCTCTTTC